GCCAATTTAGATGTTGCTCGGTAGGAGCCAAGAGCTTCCAAAAAATGCTTGACTGTCCGAGAATATTTTTATGGACTCGTGTGTGAGGTTGGATCCTTCCAATCTCTACGCACACAATTCAATAGCGTAAATTTCCGCTAGAAATACAGTCGTATAAGTACCTAGGCAGGTTGATATCTCTGTCCTGGGTCTGCGACTGAAAAAACCTGCACCAGAACCGGAAGGTGTTTTTGATCCATCTGTGAACCAACAACTATTTGGTCTTAATATTTCATTTTCCCGGTGGATCCACTTCTGTATACCCGGGAACAGTACTTTATAAGGCAGTTTGTAGTTGACAGTTGGAGGCATAAAGTCAGAGGTCATTTCCAGAATGCTGTGACTTGCAGTATCAACTAACAGTCTGTTGCACTCTGCATTTAATTGATTTGTTCAATTGGCAATATAGACTTCGTTTCTGAATGGCATTTCAGTACATAGTAGTTGCTACTCCACATTACTTTACAATGCGAATGATGGACCTTAACGAATATATTTTACTAATTGGTAAACAGTATCTAGCAGGTACAAAGCAGGTAAATTATTGTTACTGATGATTCGACTAATTGTAGTAAATTTTTCATGAACATAAATTTAACAGTGATAAAAAATCAATTTTTTGTTGGTCGTTCAATACGACGTAGTTGGTTAGTTGGTACTACGAAGAAATATATACATACAGAAAATGGAGGACAAAAATTAAACTTGTTGGACTCCATTGAACTCTCTGGAGATCAATAAACGTAAATAATTACATTTTTTGGAAAAAAAGGTTTTGGCTTTCTACTTCTCCATCTTAATTGAATTAACTCTATACAAAGGTGTGTGGATCATGCAAAGAAGTAACTTTCAGACACAAACTGGAAGAAAGAGATCTCTAAAAACAGTTATTTTCGTATATAAACATTGAATGACACGAAAGAAAAATACTTTTGAAACAAATACTATGAAAACTGAATTATACGAAAAACACTTTTCTCTATTCCGTTTATATTCCAAGCATTCATAATGGAATCGAATCAGGTATCATTCAAAGGATTCTTACACACTATGAATAATGAAAGAAATAAAATTTAACTTACGTGGAACATTTTATTTGTATGAAGATGAAGAAGTAGAAAGCCAAAAATCTCTCCTGAAAATATACCTTCCCAAATTAAATTACATTTTCTATCGAACGACCAACAACCACTATTCGATTAATTTATTTCCATAAAAAATTCCATGAATTAGTCGAATCATCACAAATACATTGTATATCTACTCGCTACCTAGTCTTAAAACTGCACGCTTACTAGTTAGCATCTCTATTCGTTAAAGTTGATATTTTTTGTATAAATTGCGTTGTAACGCGTACCGAACATAAAGTCTATATTGCGAAAACTTACAGTTATAATCATCATTATTATTCGTTAAAAATCATTATTATAATTGCTTACCTCCTGTGAACCAATGCCTCCCACACATTGGAGCCACCTGCAGCTAAGGTCTCATAAATGAATTGTGTTGACTCATATTTATTATAATATATTATATGGTTCATAAACTTTTCATTTTTGTTCATTTTCAGTAGAAATTGAACTCTTTTTCATGATTCAACCATTGAAAGAGGTGGGGGTGGTAAAAAATTTTGCCA